GTAAATTAATGGGAATATACTTCAGAGATATTTTACTCGTAAAACAAATTCTAGGGGTGCCAATAATTGTGGCCAACATGTTTTGGAGAAAAACATTTACTTACATACTTTAAACTGGAAGTAAAAATAAGCATTGTAAAACGATTTACAATGCTTATATATATCATAAACGGCTACTTGCCACGTAAGTAAATAATTAGACACAAAATATTGATCTGAGTAAATATTTTATTAGCTCTTTAAACGGAAAACTTCTGCGGAGAGAACAGTTACCACTTATTACACAGAATTTCACCACATAAATAATTATGGGGATAAGAGATATTGATTTCAGATTAAACTTTTTTAAAATATCTTCCTTTGTGTTCATCAAAAGAAAGAAACTCATACAGGTTTGCAACAACTTGAGGGTGAGTAAATGATGACAGAATTTTCATTTTTGGGTGGAGTATACCTTTAAGAGGCTATTCCATGAGATCTCTCAAAAAGAACTTGTGTATTTATTTGTTTGTATATTTATGTACTGAACCTAAAGTGATTTTTTTAAAAGGATGCTTGAGAAAATGGCCTATAGTGACAGTGATCTGGATTATGGACCTTTGTAAAAAAAAAAAAAAAAAAAAAAAAAAGGTTTTCATTTCATGGCCCCTGAGACAAAAATGAAAATTCTGTCACCCTCATGTCGTTCCAAGCCTCCATGACTTTCTTCCTTCTGTGGAACACAAAAGAAAACATTTTAATGAATGTTTCATCAGTTTTTTATCCGTACAAAGAAAGTCAAAGGCACCGAATGTTTTTTCGAATGCCTGGACAAAAAAACACAGAGACATTTTTAAAAGTATTTCTGTCTATGTGTCCAGACCTCCAGAATTGTTTGCAATTAAATGTTTACTCGGAAATAAAACAGAATATAGGGAAAGAACAAAAGTAAATTAGTTGGTTTTTGTTCTAGCAATGAAAGAAATAAATGCTAACTAGATTGTCACAATGACAGCAACGACTTCCACAACACCTCTATTTACTTTTATTTTTCACAGTTCTTTATGCCATGTATTACTTCTTCTGTTATAAATTTCAGTCTAACCTGCAAACATTTTCATAGAAATTCTGAGTTTCAGTACACCTGATTTACTCACCTGTTGAACAAATAGTTAGGCTATACGTTCAGACTGCTGGCAAATCTGATTTTATTCTCAAATCAGATCTTTTCAGGCAGACTGTCCACACTATTAATCACAAGTGATCAAATAACATCTGTGTGTCCAGACATAACATGGGTTTGGCAACAAGATAGGAGCACCCTGTATGGCTTTCAAAACGGATGCAGGGAAAATGGAAGTGCATCATATTACTCTCCAAATAAGCGCCCTTTCGAGTCGCACAAGAAAAACTCAGCGATAGAGGAGACTGGTATATATGTATATGAATACTTCCGGCATTTCCTGTAACATGTTTGGATGTTATCATTGTGACGCAAAAGGCAATTTGAAATCCGATTTGAGCAGGCAGAGTGTCCAGACTGAGACGCATTTGTAAAAATCTGATTGGAATTAAATTTCAAAGCACCTCCAAATGGGGTTTGAATCAAATTTGAAAAAGAATATGATTTCATGAGGATTTTTGCTGTGCAGTCTTTCAAAAAACAATCTGGATCAAATCTGGATAAGCTAAGAATCTGAGATCAAGTGCTAATCTGTACCCACCAATGTAGATCAAGTAGAAACCTTGTTTGCTTAAACTGGGAATAGGTTTCCTTTGGGAAATAAAATGACAGAATGGCGATCGACTAAATGAAAAAGTAGATATGGCACAGACTGGAACAGCCACAAGTTTGTGACTCATCCATAAGTTTGTGACTCATCCATCACTCAGCCTGAAGCAAACAACAAAGCCAACTACTCCTTAAGACGATGCATGAAATCAAAGTTAACTCGAACTGAAAACTGCAAGGCTTTTTTTTTTTTTTTTGTTGGTGGTGGTGGGATGGGGAATATTCAGGACAATTGTGTGTGACAAAAACATAACGAGATTTTTTTTTAAATGTACATGTACATAAAAAGTGTCTAAAATCGTCAAATCACTTGAAACTTTTGTGATCTTTTTGTTTGGTCATGTCTTTTCTTGCCTAGGGCACTAAGAGGACCATCACTGTTGCCCCCCAGAAGAGAAAAAAATAGGTGCATGACTCCCTGGGAAACAGAATTTATGAGTTTCAACACTTTTCCTGGAATCAGCCGGTTTGACATATGGTAGGTGAAATTGTATGCATAAATTAATACAATTTATGCATTAAAAAAAGCGTATGATAATTTGAATGCATCTTTTCCTTCATACAGTCTGCTAATTAAAAAAAAAAAGTTAACATGATATTGCATTTGAAGCATTTTGAAGCATAACACTCTGTCATTCATGCAGCATGAAATTTCGTTTCCTTCTCACTCCATTTGAGCTTGTCATGTTTAATGAAATATTCATCAATAGATGTTTGTTTTGGTCTTTCTTGTATAAGCAAATTAGGAAATCTTCCCAAGACTCACACCTGAAATGTCTGACCTAGGTTTGAACCCACAGCACAACAGAAATAGAGTGTTCCATTTTGAAAACATGAACTGGGACCGTGTGTGAGTACAGTAACATTCAAAAAGGACAGAGGGAATGCTCTCAGGGAGCAAGAATGTTGTGTTCCACCCTCAGATGTCCATGTTCCCTTGTCTGGAGGTCTGATGAATTATTTACATGAGCACAAAAAAACCCCAAAAAAACCAACCAGCTGCTGTGGAGACTTAATTGATTGATCGCTGGCCGTCTACATTCTAGATATGCACTCGGATTAATAGAATTCCTGTCAAGTGCAATGTTTGTGTACTGCTCGAGTCAATAACCCCCCTAATAATAAGCATTTGTTTCCATTTTGAATTGATTTTAGAATGTCAGAAGAATTAGATATGTCAGGTATTATTTCCAACTTTCGCCGAATATATAGGTTCCAGATTCAGGGTAGAAAACGAGCTGAGCTTGTTTGAGGGTAAGCAGGACAACGACTGAACCTAAAAACCTCTAGTACAAGACTATTTGAAATGCATAACTGCAATACCGGTTATCCTTGCTGCTAAACTACAGCACCTGCCTGGAAAAAATTTGAATGCCTACTACAGTGGAGGTTTAATTGGTGCCATAATTGTCCCGTACCCAAATACTAATGAAAAATATTTATAACAAATTATATTATATTATTATGATATTATTATGAATATATAATGATGAAGAATATTGGGCCATGTTCCAATTTAATTTCTTTTATCCATTTTCTGGAGAAACACTTCTCACTTGCAACTACACCCTGAAAAGGCAAGCTCTGCCACTGGGAACCAAAGCGAGAAATTGAGCCTGTTCTATGTTAGGAAGAGACTGATTCAAACTGACCTTTGAAGTTGTGACAATAGTTGATGTAACATGGTTGCCAAGAAACTGTTTTGCTAGGTGAGCTGCCGTTAGAAAGCTGTTGGATCCCATAACTAGAGCACAAAATGACTAAAGACAGTGACTCTGGTAAGCAATGAGAGATTACAGAAACCCTGCAGTGGAACATCTCAGGTCTAGACCTTGGAATATATGCTGCTTCAAACAGATTATTTTATTTGAGGACTGTTTTTTTTAAAGAAAAAATGTTAGAGAAAATTTTGTTTTAAATTACTCATCTTTTTCAAAACCAAACTCATTTACTGAATTTATTCCAAGATCAAATCATAAATCCCACAGGCACCTCAGAGCTGTTTTCGTGCACCATCACAAGCTGATAATGAGGATTTGGAGAGGGGCAAAGAACACTTCATTAGATTTGACCTGATACAGCAGCTGACCTGAAACATCCCTCGAGCATTTGATACCAGAAGACAATATGATAAAACTTTTAAAGGAGCCTGGTGCTAATAAACTAGAACTGTCACAGAAAACATGTCAAAGTGGTATGATTTGGCTAGCCTCGGCTCTCATCTGTCAATGCAAATATGACCAATGCCATTAATGAAGAATATAAAAATTGTTTAATCAAATAAATTACACACACAAAAAAAAAACGGTGTGAGAATGAGTGAGAACATTCGGCCTGTCAATCAAAAGATAACTGACCTCTATAGGTAAAAAACTTTTTTTTTTAAAGTCAATTTGTGTTTACATTTAATTTTTGAACATCAAGTTTGTTGAACACATTTTTTTTTGTCATAGTGGGGCATGTTGTCACCGTGGGAACCTGGCATATTCTATTATTAGAGAAATTGAAAAGCAATTTTTTTTTTTTTGTAAAACAACACAATTCACAAATAAGCAAAAATATAAAAACCATTGTTTTGGTCAACAGATATCTAGATACAGTCATAAATAAATACAAATTAAACAAACATTTATTTTAAAAAATAATTGTATTTACAATGTTAAAAAATTACAACTTGCACCAACATTTTTTTAAATTATTAAATTATGACAATTATGAAAAAAACAACCTTTGTCCTAATTTTGTCCTATACAATCCCTCATTACACTTTCCTTAAGGTATGCCAGTGTGGTTTAAAAAAAAATATTCACTCGTTTAACTAACTGCTGTGATGTAAAAAAAAAATGGTATTGAATATTTCAAAAACAGTGGCTGCTATAGACACTGCTTAGACTTGGCCATCTAATATATTTCATACTATTTTTAACTAATTAAAATTGTAAATGAAGTTTAAGATACTGCAAATTTATATTGCAGAATATATACATTTCCACACTATTGAACCATTCAGAGCACGCGCATCACAGGGATCACCACCATCACTGTCTTTGCTGCGTAAAAGCGCACGCCATCCAATCCATTGACACTTGGCTCTATAAAAACGCAGCGAGCTGTCATTGCGCGTGAAGCTACGAACAGACAACATAATTGTCCGATAAACATCACTAAAATGCGGTTAAATGCCCCCTCTAAGATCGATTTATTTACATCGATTTTAGATGGTCTTAAATATCACCGTTGTTATGTGTGCGGCAAGACGTTGTCTACGGAAAACTATAAGACAGTGGAGAGAGGAGAAGTTGGAATGGTAAGATTCAGGAATGAGTAACTCAAACAGGATGGAAGAAGTACACTGAACAACAGCAATGCAGAAGACTCCCGAGATGCAAGACGAGCGCACAGAGTACGCGCTTGGAAGTCTCCTGTTAAGTGAATACAACGCGAGCTTCATGGTCAACAGGACTAATCTTTCATGGAGTGACTTTCAGGATCTCGCCGATTTGGATAAACCCGACGGGAGATGGATCTGCGGTCCTTAGAATAATGATCTCTGTCATTTACTCGGTTGTGTGCGCACTGGGTTTAATCGGAAACATCCTTGTCCTCTATCTCATGAAATCAAAACAAGCATGGAAGAAGTCTTGCATCAACCTCTTTGTGACCAGTTTGGCGGTCACTGACTTTCAGTTTGTTTTGACGCTTCCTTTTTGGGCTGTGGAGAACGCCATGGATTTCACTTGGCTATTTGGGAAGGCTATGTGTAAGATAGTGTCTTATGTCACGGCTACGAACATGTACGCCAGCGTGTTTTTCCTCACGGCTATGAGCTTCGCGAGATACTGCTCCGGTGGCTTCGGCGTTAAAAAGTAGGAGGCGCCGGTTGCGTTTCTCCGCGCAATGGATGACTATCATCATCTGGATAGCAGCGGTCGGTGCCGCTCTGCCAAACGCCATATTTTCAACGACCGCCACGGTATCCAACGAGGAACTGTGTCTGGTGAAATTTCCCGACAGGAGCGGAGACGCGCAATTTTGGCTAGGTTTATACCACGCGCAAAAAGTACTTCTGGGGTTCATCATTCCGCTCGGAATAATCACGATCTGTTACCTGCTCCTCTTGCGCTTCATAACTAACAAAAATGTGAACACCTCCAGCGCTAAGAGGCGATCCAAAGTGACCAAATCAGTGACTATTGTCGTTTTGTCTTTTTTCCTGTGCTGGCTGCCGAATCAGGCGTTAACCGCGTGGGGTATCTTAATAAAACTCAATGTAGTGCACTTCAGTTACGAGTACTACACCACACAGGTGTATATTTTTCCAGTCACAGTCTGTTTGGCACATTCAAACAGCTGTCTCAATCCTATTCTGTACTGTTTGATGAGAAGGGAATTCAGAAAGGCGTTGAAAAAGCTGTTTTGGCAAATTACATCGCCTTCTGTGACGAACATGAGACCGTTTACAGCCTCCACAAAGCCCGAGCAGGATGAACACGGTCCCGCGCTGGTTCCTCGCAGTCCCGCGGAGCCCGCGCTCGTTTTCTATCCCCCGGGAACGGTCATCTATAACGGCAGAAACGACCTTCTGCCTAACAGCACATAAGGAGAAGTTATGTTGAGTAAGTTTTCAGACTCAAACAAAATGGCAAATAAGTTAATTAATTAGCTTGTACCATTGTTTTTCTCTGCCAACTAAACTAAAATAGTTCTCAAAGAAACCAACGCGCAGACTAAAAGCCGTTCTGGAACATCTTTTAGAACTGGAGGGGAGCCTCCTCCATTTCAAAATGTTCCTTAATTACAGGCTCTAAATCCAATCCGAGTTTTATTTCACACTCCCCTCTCACTATTGAGAGAAGAGAAACCCTTTCCTATAGGGCTGTTCAACTTCCTCTTGGCACTGCTTACAGATTTATTTTGGAACTGTGAAAACAATCAAGTTAGAGCGCAAAACTGTTGTATAAAGAATTGTACTTTAGTCAGAGCACATATGTGGATCCATATACTTAAATAATGTATCAGTTGGTTTACAAAGAAATATGAATTTGCATTGTTTTTTCACCATGAATCAACAATATCCGATTTATATTTACCTAACAGTATGGCACAATATGTACTTTTGGAGAACAAGTAAACCATTACCCTGCTGATAAACATCTTACATCCAGTAATGTGTTGAGTTTGCTGGTAAGAAAAAAAAATCCTCTGAACAAACATCCATAATCAGCCAATATACTAGCCTGTCCAGGTTAAAAGACTGCTGAGCAGCTAATCTTAGGCATGTGAATGTTTTTTAGCAGAGTAAAAATCCAGTAAATGCTGTGTTATCGTTATCACTGTGACTGTGTAAATCTGGTCAGTTATTTGCAGGTGATTTTATTGATTTGTCCAACTTTGTCATCAGATTAAAAAAAAGTTACACCACATGCATAAAGATGTTTGTCCTAATTAAATCTATATAAAAAGGCATACATAAAATAATTACAAGCTGAAACAGTTTACATCTGAGGTGCAACTCTCTGCCAACAGTAAATTGATTATCACCGAAATAAAGTCAATTGATAATCTAAAATGTTAGCATTTCTTAAATCAGTTATTGTTTTGCATAAAAAGTGAATATTTATTGGGGTTTGACAATGGACATGATAATGCTCATTGGTTTTTTAAGGTGAAAACATTTCACCTTAAACGAATAATGAAATTGCATAAAACATCAAAATTTTGCAATTTTGTCAACTATTATTCAAGTACATCTAATCTTTCTTTCAACTTCACTGATGAAGGCTGTTATTTGAGAGTGTGGCATGTAAATGGGAGTGCAAAAACAAAGACTTGACTTGAGTCTGGCTAAGTGCCCAAAAAAATGTACCTTTTTCGTTTCTTTTTCCTGCTCGTTCTCAGTGAATAGAGGAGACGGACCATGAAATAGAGAAAGGTTATTTATTTGAGGCTTATACATCACATAAAGAGCGCAATAAAGAGGCAGCCAATTAGGGATACTGTTGAGGCAGAGAGCACCACCACAATCACACTGCCTGCTAGATTGACCAGGGCTCCCAGTCCAGCTCCCACTATGACCTGAGCCAGCTGCACCATACAGGTAAGAGCTGCGCAGTCCATGCCAGTCCCACGGCTCTCAAGAGCTGCTTCATCACTGCTCAATTTTCTTCGCTCCTATGACAAGAGAGAGGCTTTGCATGAGAGAAGGGCTATCGTTAACAAAATATTACACAGACATTAATGTCTATACAGCATTCCAAAAAGGATGAAGATCATCTGAAGATCTGAAGTCATTTATAATGAGCAGAACACTGTGGATCTACAGACCAGGAAGCCTTGCAGAGAGCATTGTGTTTGCTTTTTGATGGTTCTAAGAAAGCATGCTCATATGCACAAGCATTCGAGCTCTGTGAACAAACACATAACGATGAGAACAATTCAAGTGCAAGTAACAGCCAAGAAACAAAATCAAAGTTGCATTTTAGCAGGGTTTAATCAATTTCTCGATTATAATTCAGTCTGAGTTCCAGGAAGGGATTTCGATTTGTAATAAAATTTTCTGTTTCCTTGTGACTTCATTAATGCTTCAGACATCCCAGGGATTTTAGAGAGGCTAAACAAATCCATATTTGATTTGGAAAGTGAAAGTCAATGTTTTAAACTAAGAAATCGATCTTGAATTTAGAAATGTTCTTGGTAAACAGCTTTTATTTTTTAGATACAAAACACAGTTTGGTGTGTGCTAGCAGATCAAATCTGCCTTACATCAATATTTATTGAACGATGTTCTTATTGGTCAAATCGCAGCATTTGTAAATAAGTACTGTTGTCTAGGGCAAGCTGACTGCTCATCTTATGTTTGATCTAATAAAATAATTTCTATTTGAATCAATATTTATCAATATCAATTAAGTCAATACAGTTTTATGCATTTACTTGTTTGGAGCCATGTAATAAGGAGAATAATGTCCAGTAAGATGGTTTTTAATCACAAAATAAACCACTCGAGGATGGTAAATGACCCACCCTCTTCACATAAGTGTTTTTTTTATGATAATGACTAGTCTTGGCATTAGATGAAATTAAACAAAAAAACGAATTGACTTTTTATTTAAAAGACACAACCACAAATGTATTGCGATGTAAAATAACTATTGTCTATTTAAATATATTTTTAAATGTACAGTACTTTATCCCTGTAATGGCAAAGCTTTTCAGCAGCCATTACTCTATTCTTCTGTGTCACATTTGATCCTTCAGAAATATTTTTCTGCTGATATGAAAAATCGGTACATTTAGCAATATAGCGGGTGAATTATGTATATGATGTATTATAATGTTATGGTGGAGAATATGCCTTTCTCTACTGACGTTCTAAGTTGTTCAAAGCGTTAAAGATACTGATTTTTATAAGGCAGCTGTACGACTCTGAGGTGGCGAACGGGAAGCCAGAATGTCAGAGTCCAGATTTGAACCCTATAGTGAATATTTGGTCTCACATTAAACTCAAATGAACTGGGAGACATTTTTCAACCACTCCTGAACTGTTTGAAGCCATTAAAATTAAGTGGAACACGGACTCTTCTTCCTGTAGAAAGCTGTTAGCATGTTGGACTATTCTGTGCTACGTTGCTTTATCTAATATACAGCATTTGTGCAATTCTTGCTAACTTCCTGACCCGTGATTTGTGATTAAAATGGTTAAGACCATTAAAAGACTACCAAATATTTTCCCATTTCTGGCTTGGTTGGGCCCATTTTGTTGTGCCCATAGAGTGTATATTTTCTTGTTTATGAATTTATAAAACTGCTGATTTGTTCCTTTTTGACCTGATGTAACACTCTGAAACTGACCTCTTCCTCCTTGTGGTACTCTGAGATGAGGTTGAATGGGATGGTGTAGAGAGTGCTGGACATGACTCCAAACACACTACACAGCGTCAGCGTGGCTACAATGTTTGGAAATAGGCCGATCAAACCGGTTCCCAAACCAAACACAAAGTAGCCAAGGAAGTACAGTCCCTTCAGGCCAATATATGGCAGGAGCAGCCTCTGCACATCTGGATGGACACATGGAAATCATTTAAGGTGGCTGGAATAAGGGCCTTTAATATAGAACAAATGGTGAATTGGATGAATATAGCAAAGACACATTAACTGATCAGACTCATTCATGTCACTGATAAAATGTCTTGACTGATAAAGCCCTCTGAAATTGCCTTTTCAATAACATATGACTTCCAGCATTAATTAGAATGACAGGATGTTGAAAGAGACTCTCTCATACACTCAGAAAAAGTGTATTGTACAATTTCAACCCCAGACTGACTTGGTAGGGCCATTTATTATGTGACTGTAAGTCAAGAAGAATGAACAGTTGAGTTATGGTTTAATATTACTCACATGAATAAAGTGCAGAGGAGACAGCATTGATGCACAGGCCCCAGCAGCCCACTTCAACCCCTCTCTCATACGTCGCATAGGAGGTAGAATTGTGTTCAGCATATGGGTTCCCCTTATATACAATCTAAAGATGGATACACAGATCCCAGGGATGTTACATAAGATAAAGAATGTGACATCATCATATCTTAGGCAATTCATCAGCCATTGGTCAAATGGGTTAAAAACACTTAAATGCAGAGCTGAACCTCTCCACAGGTGTCTCTTTTTCCATTATACTACAGTGAACCAGCACATCACAAGGCTTTTTTCCATTTAGACATGACATGGCAAATAAAAGGGACTCCTCAACATCCTCTCCTCTGCTGTGATCTGTGGGGGTTAGTTACTGAGAGAGTTATTATAATGCTCACCTTAAACTAGAAAATACACTTTTCTTTCAAACTCATTCATTAAGGTGATAGATTTCATCTAGTTCCTTTAATAACCATCGCCTCTCAAAGATGGAGGCATTTTCTTAATTTTATCAAGCTTTTTGTTACCGCTATCACATCTAATCATATTAGTATACATCCTGTTAAGAATGTCTATTCACTGCATCAGCTGCAATGAACGTTTTCCACTTTGTTGAGGTCAGCAGTACAACTTTCTTTACACTTCAGCCGCCTACAAGGAGATTTACTCATTTATCTCAATTCAACACTGATAGCTGTGCGAGGGAAAATAAGAAAAAGAAACTGCTATCTTTTAACAACAATTCAAAGCATTATTGATCTATTTTTCAGTGTGGGGAGTGCTAAATTGAAATCTAATAGCTTGGTAAATACACTCACCTAAAGGATTATTAGGAACACCATACTAATACTGTGTTTGACCCCCTTTCGCCTTCAGAACTGCCTTAATTCTACGTGGCATTGATTCAACAAGGTGCTGAAAGCATTCTTTAGAAATGTTGGCCCATATTGATTGGATAGCATCTTGCAGTTGATGGAGATTTGTGGGATGCACAGCCAGGGCACGAAGCTCCTGTTCCACCACATCCCAAAGATGCTCTATTGGACTGAGATCTGGTGACTGTGGGGGCCATTTTAGTACAGTGAACTCATTGTCATGTTCAAGAAACCAATTTGAAATGATTCGAGCTTTGTGACATGGTGCATTATCCTGCTGGAAGTAGCCATCAGAGGATGGGTACATGGTGGCCATAAAGGAATGGACATGGTCAGAAACAATGCTCAGGTAAGCCGTGGCATTTAAACGA